ATGAGTTTCAGACACATCTTCACAGATAAGATCAGTCTGCAGGAGACACGCATGTATAGCTCTAACTTCTGCTTTGACCTTTAGTATTTTGACTGTCTGCTCCTGCCCTCCTCCAATTTCCCATGTGCATGTTATTCATGGTGAATTGTTTGCTGAGGTCTAGAACTGCCCAAGGGTAAGACATAGATCATCCGCTCCCAAACCAGACTAGTCCCTCAGAGAGAATTTCCTTCCTCCTCCAGCAAAATCTGGAAGTCTGTCTGTACAGCCCTAGATACAGACGGAAAAGTGTCTGTGTACACAGAAATACTCATGTCTTGTGGCCATTCTTCACCCAAACCCAAGTTTTGTCCCCACCAATGCTGCTGGCAGGGGTGGAAGCAGTAGCCCCAGTAAACAAGGCAAGAACCCAAACCAGCAGGAGAACAACCCCTTGTTAATCAATGTGACCACCTTCATCTCAGACAGCTCTCTCAGCTCATCCCATCTCTTCTTAGCACTGAACCCTTGGCCTTTCTTATGGGATGTCTGTTGGTCTCGGGCTGCTTGTTGCCTGTCACGAGCAACATATGTCTTTCTCACATTTGCAGTCTGGCCTTTTTTTTCCTTCCTTCCTTTCATTATGCAAAAGACTTTGCATCCACTGCATGAGCCCCAGAATTCCTTTCGTGATCCAGAAGCAAATCCACATCCTTGTTCAGACTTTCTTTCTTCTGTTTTACTCTACAAAACACATAGCTCTTAGACAAAGCCTTTTGATTTCAGTGACAGTTACTACTTCTTCTGTATAGCAGGAATTGAAATTGATTATTTTTTGCTCAAAATAACACCTCTGATGCTCCCTCTTTGAAAGAAATAGGCTTTAGCCAGATATCTTCGATCCAGATATAAACATCCCCTAACGTTTAGGAGCTCAGTTCCTGAGGGTGTTGTGCTCATTTACTAACAGAAGCAAATAGACTTGTTGTTGAGTAACAGTCCTTGTAAAAGTCCATCGAAGCCAGTGGCAGATGCCCTGTTAATTTTTAGCAAGCAGAACCATTGCATATCACTATTCAGCTTGTATAAGGCCTTCTGTTATGAAATACATCCAACTTATCACTTTGTTCCTAGGTTGAAACCATGAGTAAAATAAAGTACAAAATAAAGACAAAGTAAAATGATCCCACCATACAAGAAGTCTGGTTTTTCTCCTCTTGTTTTGTTTCTCTTTTGCTCCAAGTTCAGGAGTATAAAATGCTTATATATCCTTTTCATCTGAGATAGATCTGTCCTTGACCACCTCAGTGGGGAACCATTCCAAGAGTACCTGAACAGCATGTACTTCGACAGGTTTCTCCAGTGGAAGTGGTTGGAAAGGTAAGTGTCACAAGTTGTTTGGGGTTTTTTCCTATAAAAAATGAATACAAAAGATTTATTTTCACTTTCCATGCTCAAAATCTGACAGCTGAGATAGTATGTTTGCTCCCTTTGCCTTCAAGATAAAGACCCTTGGCCTTTCTTCAGCATTACCAAAGCCTCATCCGAATGTTTGCCATTTATGGCCCTCTTTGTGCAGCAATTCTCTCCCTCTTTTCACTGTTCTCTTTCAGGAAGGTTCATCAAGACTCATTCACCATTTCCCTGAGCTATACTCCAGGGAAGCTCTCCCAGAGAGTTCCAGGAAGGCTTTCCTAATTTTATCATTTAACTTAAAAACAAGTGTTCGTTGTTAGAAGGTTCAAGAAGAGATAATGGCTTTAGCCACAGGAAGATGCCATATAGGAAAGTCATGGTTATGTTGGTGTTAGGCTCAATTTAACCATGAGCTGAGTCTCCAACTGTGACCATCCAATGAGCATGGTTGGTGCCTAGGATTTAAGTATGTTTAGACCCAGCAATACTCTTCAGCCTCTCCCTTCTCTCTTTAAGGAATCCTGTGCTCTGAGAAATGTATGTGGCCAATTTCACTGTCTTGTCACCATGAGCTGCTCATGGCACAGATTGAAGGACACATTACCCTTTTTTATAACCTACCCTTGTGCATCTATAATGCTAAACTAAAGATACACATCCAGTCTCTGGCTTTTGTATTTGCAAACACTGTGCCCAAGCAAGACTGAAACAGATGCTGCTGGCTAGGGAAGAACAGAATAAACCAGAAACCTACCCCAAAACACTAGGGAGGCAGTTTTGGCTTCTAAAGGTCAGGTGGTTGCCCATTTAATGGTATCATTAGGCAGATCAGGTAGGACTGAAGTACATTCAGCAACTTCAGTTGTCTTTCTGTTTAGCTATGCTCTGAATATGGTGACCTTTTGCCTGGATCAGTTATCATTATTATCAAATCACTGTAAACAGACAAAAATATGTCACATAGGTCCTTGCATCATATATATTACCTAGACATTTCTGAGCACATTTGATAACCAGGCAGCCTTAGTGGGTATTAGCAAGGAAAGGGGCCTTTGCCTTCTCCTTGTCGTGAGGGCTGCAGCAGATGTACACTTGTGGGTAGCAGTGACCTTGAGTTGAGAGAAGCCCCGGGTTCCACAAATGGAATTAATTATGGCAGATGAGTTAGGGCCAGATCCATGAGTGGTGTGTATCAGCGTGATGCCTCGGAGATCAAAGGAGCTGTGCCAGTTCTTCTCCCTGGAAAGCTAGCTACAAAGCTGCTGCACAAGAGAGAAGGCAAGCGGTGGGCAGAGGGGAGAGCTGTTTCATGCCAAGACATGCTCCACATGCCATCTTACTGAATCCAGCATTTCCTCTTCTATTTCAATTAAAGAAACATCAGATGATTCATCCTTAGCCAGGCTATTTCCTATCTACTTTCACATTTGGGATAAGGAATTTTCTGAAATGCTTTGAGGATTATTACTTTTTCCATTCCCCCGACAAGTGTGACAAGCTATCGGATATGCCTGGCTTAAGAAGCTGGGAGAACTGCTTTTAGGATTAGCAAAGAGCTGTTAGTAGCACAGTGATCACCAGATCCTTCTGACAGCCTGCTGGCTCCAATGGAGGAGTCCTACAGTCCATTTATTCCAGAGACATTGCTGAGCATGTAGTTATCACTGCTAATTGTTGCTTTTAACCCCAAATGCATTTGCAGTATCCTCACAGAAGGCTGAAAATAGCATCACTCACTCTTCTAGTTTTGGCCTTCTGCGTATTTTTCTTCCCCTACTTTTAAAAACAATAATGAACATAAATGAAACGATTCACTTTAGCATTTATTCCTTATTGTCACCAACCTCATCACTGCTGTTGTGGGAACAGCCACGTTATTGTGCTCCCTCTGTCGGCTGGCTGCCCGCCAGAGGGAAACGGAGCCATTGGGAATATCCACATCAACCACTCATATGATTGTAAAACTTCAGTGGTGGAGTGGTGGGGTTCTTCTTCTGTCACGTTATAAAGCTTTTATGGTAACAAAGTGTAAGTTAGATGTAGGGCTGGGGCCATTTTGGTAGGGCAGGATTTTGTGGGAACTTTGTTAGGTTGTGTAGGTCATGTCTAGTGAATGTTATGGAGCACTCTGCCCTCAGAAAGACTTATTTAACCCTTAATTTGGCCCTTTAAAGGAAAGAGATGCTTTTCCTCCCTTCTCACCCATGATGCTCTTCCAGGAGGCAGATAGCCCAGGCAGGGCCAGACTGGCTTGGAGCTTGGTTTACTGCTCTCCCCTCCTGCAAATGGCATCTGAACCCACCTCTGTGGTTCCTGGGATTCTTTCTTTCCTTGTTTCACATAATTTTCCTGTTTTCTTTAAGGTCAAGACACCAGAAATGCTTTATGGTGGTTTGAATTCTGAATCTCTTTTTCTCTATCCCTGGCAGTGTTCAAGGCCAGATTGGACAAGGCTTAAAGCAATCTGGTCTAGTGGAAGGTGTCCCTGCCCATGGCAGAGGGTTGGAACTGGATGAGTTTTAAAGTCCCTTCCAACCCAAACCATTCTAGGGTTCTATGACCTTGAAGACCAAGCAAAGTCATAAAGCGTTAGCCCATCCTATGCATCATGAGAATTAATACATTATTGAAAGGTCTCAGGCCTCCTCTTTGCTTAACAAAGGCCAAAGCTATATCATGAAGATAGAGAACCCTCCTTGGTCCTAAGATGCTTGCAGAAATTATACTGATGACTCACTAATGTGTTGTATTTTATTACAGCTTAATATGTTGGAATTGAAAAGTTCAAGCCATACATAGCATTGAAGTAATGGAATTACATAATTATATATTATATTCTATAATAGGATTACCTTGAAACAATGTGATTATCTCATATTTATCTCTTTTGCTTTTTCAAAAGTATGCTCTGAAATAAATAAATCACTGAGAGTGCATTAAATGTGTTGTCTTCTTTTTTTTTTTTCTTTATTTCCTTTTCTTCCAGGCAACCAGTAACAAAAAACACATTTCGGCAGTACAGGGTACTGGGGAAAGGTGGCTTTGGGGAGGTGAGTAGGTCTTAAAGCTTCTGTGAAAGTGTTTCTTACTTCTCAGGCACTGCAGATCACAGGAACCTGATGCAACAGAGGTTGATTTTCATTAAGTGCTGACAGTTTTACTTGACCTCTCATGACAAAAGGCACTGGGTTCAAGCTTAAACAAGGGAAGTTGAGGTTAGATCTAAGGAAGAAGTCCTTTACTGTGAGGGTGCTGAGGCGCTGGAATGGGTTGCCCAGAGACATGGTGAATGCTTCATCCCTGGCCGTGTTCAAGGCCAGGTTGGACAGAGCCTTGGGTGACATGGGCTAGTGTGAGGTGTCCCTGCCCATGGCAGGGAGTTGGAACTGGATGATCTTGAGGTCCTTTCCAACCCAAACAATTCTGTGATTCTATGACACTGTCATCCCAAAAGAACACTTTTGAGAATTATTCCATATTTGACTAACAGTGGAATTTAGAGGCACACCCTTATTTGTGTTTTAACTGATGGCTGGGCAGCAGAGTCAGAGGAGGGGTGGACGGGCTTTAGCCTAGATTACAATCTGCACAGACAAAAGGAGGTGGAATAGGAAGCAGGCGGAGGAAAGTGGAATAATGAAACCAATATTACACAGCAGGTTTGGAAACAGTAGTCGGTTCCCCAGCTGCCCCCGCCTGTGCCTTATTCACTGTGCCGCCGTCTCTAACCTTAAAAGGACTCACTGGGATCAGCTCATGGGGAGTAGAAGTGCAACCCAGACGCAGCGTTTGCTTCGAATTACCCGGCAATTGTTCTCTTTAATTCTCAGGTCTGCGCTTGCCAAGTGCGAGCGACAGGGAAGATGTACGCCTGCAAGAGATTAGAGAAGAAGAGAATAAAGAAGAGGAAAGGCGAATCCATGGCACTAAATGAAAAGCAGATTTTGGAAAAAGTCAATAGTCAGTTTGTAGTGAGTATTGAACTCCCCGTGCTCAGCTCGGTGCTCAGCTCCCTGCTCACCTGCTGAGCACTGCTCTTGTTGAACCCGATGCCTCCTCCAATTCCTACAACAGGGAAGGTGCCAGAAGCTGACTCCCTTCGCTTTGCACCTTAACCCTGCTCCGTGCACCTTTGCCAAGTCTCATTTTAGTCTCTGGTCTGTGTGAAACGCACCAACCAAGGTGCCGGTTCCTGCCATGGGAATGATGCATTTTGCAGCCTTGACTTGCATCAGGGCTGCATCAGCTGAGCTATTTTTATCCAGCGTGATTACCTGAATTCCCAGTGTCTGGGAGAGAGGAGGTCGGAGGAGACTGAAGGATATTCAACCCAAATAGATCAGAAGAGATTGGCTACAAACCAATGACGTGGAGCTGGTCTGTCTGATGTAGGGCTTTCCTGACTCATGCCAGCTCTTGTTTCGCTATAAAAACTTGCCTTAGATTAAAAAAAAAGGTGTTGTTATCTCAGCATCTGTCATGTTCTTTATACTTATTTTAGGAAACACTGTGAAAACAACAGATGCAAGATGTTTACTTACCTCTGGCAGAAGCAAAGATGATGGCACATACTTAAACATGAAGGGTAGCTTTTGGCTTGTCTGATTGTTCCAGGGGCACCTGCCAGAGCAGGATGATGCTGACCCTCATGCCTGAGTGATGGTCCGTTTGACCACCACAGGACCAGGCTATCTGGGCCTTCCTGGGAACCTACTGAGATGACAGCTTTTGGACAGCTATCCAGCAAAACAGTGCAGCAGGAGGTGTAGATTCCCTTGGTTATTAAGATCTCTCTTACATGGAAAAGTATGGCTGGAGTTAGTTTGTTTGTCCAGCTTGTGAAGCTATCTGAGCATTAACTGTGACGGTTTCTGATGATGAATTTTTCTGTCCCTCTAAAATGTATGTTTGCTATTGTAATAAGGCCCATTTCAAATTCAGTTTCTTTTTTTTCCTTTTCTAGATGATATCTTTAAAGAAAAGTTTGTGCTTTCTTCTCAGCAGCTAAATGAACTATCACAACTGTGCTACAAATGTTTTTCTAGGTCAATTTAGCCTATGCCTATGAAACAAAGGATGCATTGTGTTTAGTTCTGACCATAATGAATGGAGGTGACCTGAAGTTTCATATCTACAACATGGGAAACCCAGGCTTTGAGGAGGAAAGAGCTTTGTTTTATGCAGCAGAGATTCTTTGTGGCTTAGAAGACCTACACAGAGAAAATACTGTGTACAGGTAAGCACTCTTTAAAGGCTTACAGGGTATCTTTTATGTGTAGAAAGGAACTGCTTGTATCTTCCCTGCTTATTATGGTGCTATAAAGCTTAGATACCTCAGTGCTGGGGCTGAAATTTCACAGGGTACATATTCAGTATGATTCAGTAATCGTGGAAGGATTCTGCTTCACTAGATACATCCTGTCTAAACTGCAGAACTAACACAAAGATCCCCAACCCCTACCTCAGAGTGCACTGGGTGACATAAGGAAATCATGAAAGTTCCTTTAAAGGTATTTCGTTGAGGATTCTAGTTTCTACTTGGAATGAAATGGAGATGATTCTATTCAAGCCTTTATTTTAATTAGGTGGATTATATCACACCAGGAGCCACAGCACATCAGATGTGGAAAAACCATCTCTCCTACCCCAGAGGGAGCACAATTAGCACAAGAGGGGTTTGAGACACGGGGCAGGGATTCAAGCTCTAGGACATGAACTAGCCTTATTAGCTGGGTTGGATCGTGACCATGGCATGCCAGCTGTGGAAGGAGGCACGCTTGCAGCCATGCAATGGAGATGTCCTGCTGGCAGCATCCCACCCACTGTGGGTGCAGCCAGCGGGCAGAGCACTGCCCAGAGCGGTGACAGCTTCGAGAAGGACAAATATCAACTTCTCAGCTTCTAGTCTGGCTTCCAGCTCTCTACAAGCCTTTTTCCAGGACATCACAGGGTTTACTTGCTGGATAAGCAGGGTGATTGCAGACAGAGTTCTTGTGACTCCATGAGGATTTATTTTTTTCTAATCAAAGGCCAATGGAGTTGTAAACAACATTTAATGTTTGTCTGCATCATCCCAGCTTGTGAAATCATTACTGCTGGCATTCACAGCAGAAGAGGTCCTGTAAATTGATGAAAGAACTTCCAAGGGCAATGATTAACAGACAATGATATGTTATTTTTAAGAACCAAGCCACGCTTTAAATCATTTGATATGCCCATGTGTAATAAGCATTACGCATATGCTTGTATACATAGGAATTACAATATTGTTGTTCCTTGGAGGAGGTCTGTAGCAAACTGCTACTTGGTTGCCTCAGTGTGACTCAGATCTTGCAAGCTGGCATAAGGAGAGCAGACAGATAACATGCTGATTGAGTTGGTGCTGGCCCAAGAGGGATGGCTTTTTTTTCCCATGGAACAAAATGGAATTGTTTAATGTCAATTGAAAAATCAAATAATGACTTGTCTGGCTTCCCTTTTCTTTAAAAACCATCCTACCACATTCAGAAAAGTTTTAGGAGGTATTACAGTGTTAGCTTAAGAACTTCTAGATCACAAGCATGCTTTATTGATGAAAATGACTGGTACATTCATAGCGTGGCTGGTAAAATGCCATATTAATGCCACTTTCTAACAAAGCAAATCAGATCTGGCCACCTAAAATGGAACGCAGCTCTGAGGGAAGTGACATCTTACTTCTTTAAGCAGTTTTTTTCATGTTACTCTTGAAAGAACAGCTAGTTTACACCTCAGGTGCCACATTCATTTTGGTGATGAATGATGTTATATCCTTGTAGGTGACATTTTCCAGCAGTATTTTAGGAGCATCTGCAGAGACCCCCTAATTCATAATACCGCAGCATGTTTTGGGACCAGTGAGAAGTGCTATATAGGCCAATAAAATATAGCAGCTTAATGTTACCACTTTCTCAAGGTGAATAATTCATTGCAAAACACTTATTCCTCAGACTTAATTTCATTTTCTATGAACAAAATGCCTCTGACTAAATCACAGCATCGGAAAACACATCCCCATCTCACGGTCCGGTGACGCACACTGAGGATGTGACCCAAGAGAACAACCGGGCTCAGGGTTAGATTTATCTGATGCAGATTTCCCTTTGCCAAATGAGGTGCTTTGGTTACATTGCTCAACTGCATTACGCTAGTAAAGGTCAATGGGTCGATTGTTCATGGAATGCAAACATAAAAAGCTGATGGTTCTCTTCAAATTATTGTTAAATATAAAACATAATGATATATGTATGATATATGATGATATATATATGATGATAAATTTTATATCATTAGATTAATATATACATATATTTTAAA